GGTGATTGCCCAGTTCTCCAATCTATCCAGAAAATACTAAATAAGACTGTGTAGACCTCAATCAACTTTTCCTGGAAGGTTATAAATTTACTCATTTCAGTAGATGCTCCCAAGCCATGAGACTTCAGAGCCTCCTAAAGCTCTCTAGCTTTTTCTGATAATGTGTGGACATAGTCGTGCTTCTAAAGGTCTGCAAATTCAGACCATTGAAAGGTCTGATGCAGGCAGCTCTAGAGGATTTAGACACATACAGCTTTCTCCAGCAAAAGGATTGCAGCTTGGGTGTTTCCTCACTGACAGCTGTAGCTTTGAGGCAGCTGGGAGGACAGAGTATTTAATCCGTGGATCTCCTTGTGCCCTTGAGGCTTTACATGTTGAAAACGTAAGTCCTATTCAAACTCCTTTCCGCTTCTTCCTTCCCCTACCCACATAAGGAAGTTATTTTGGCATTAAACCTTCAGTTTCTGGACTGACCATAAGTGTTTTATATTATTTCAACAAAGTCTAAAAAATTATATGTTTTTGTCCCTTGGAGTCGGAAAAAGTTTTTTCTTCAAACTGCTGATCTTGTAATTTCCAAGTACCAAGGGGCCCAGCAATGCTTGTAAAAGCATTGGACAAATATGTAATGGCAGATCTTTTGTACATGAAACAGTACTGAAGAATAATTTCTCCTAAATAGCACCCATTCTTTCCTTTATCCTGCCTCGTGGAGTGATTTTTATACATTTTTGGGAATCTGAAAGCATAATTTCATTGGCTTACTTGTTTTATAACAAGTTATAGTTTATAAAGTTAGCAAGTACGCTTCACGCTCAAGCCAGATTTCTGGTACATTCATTACATCTGGTTGTGCTCTGTGGGTCTTCTCAATGGGCAGAAAACTCAAGATTGATTACTGTGGGTTCTTTTAAGCACTGCAGTCATCAACAAGGCTAGTTTTTTGTTGATATTGTTATTTAGGCTTTAAAAATATATATTCATATGAGATAAAAACAAACAAGGAAACATGGTATTATTATTTAAACCCCTGAAATATAAATCTGTTCTCTAATTTATTTACCATACATATTCTACATTCTGTATTAAATTATAAATTGTATTTTTCATGAATAAAAGAGTAGCAAGACCTTCCTTGAAGCTAACTCTGTGATTTCAGGAGGAGGAGCGTGCGCCTAGGGCTTCTAACCCACAAGTCTTCTTTGTGCCATCTTTGTCGGTTCCATATACTTTTTCTCACGTTGTATGAAAGATCTTGGGTGACGTTAATCAGCAATAAAGCATTTAGTCAGTAGGACTCAGACCAGAAAGTCATAGCAGTGCCTGAGAACAGCTGAGTCTTGCAAACTTGTCTTTGTTTTGAAATATAGAGGAAATTCCAAAGATTAGCAGAGTCCTGGTTTGGGAGCAATGGCTAAAAGGGCAGCAAGTGATGGCCTTGTCAAATGTCGGCCTTTTAATCTGGTGTACACCTCCCAAGGAGAATAATGAAAAAGTATTTGGGGAATTTCAGTAATGCAGAGCATAAAAGTAACGCTCATCAGTGTGGCACTGTGAACAAGAGCTTTAGATTAAGATGAATTCCATTTCCTCAAAACCAATCTGTAGTTTCAATTAGTAGAAGCCATTGCTTTTGATTTGCTCTTGTAATCCCCTGAAGCTGTGGTTTCAGAGTCACCACTCTGCCAAGTACTCTGCAAGCACAAGCTTCTGAGGAATTTTAAGTCTCAGCACTGAGGTAATACGGTCCCACCCATTTTTCATTTTTATACTGTTAAGTATGCCAATGGAGGGGAAAAAAAAAAATTCTACATCACACTAAAATACATAAATACTGTCCTGGGGATAAAACACCAGGTGCCAAGGTGAAATGTTTTTTTTCTGGTGTAGAATTGTACAGAAGAAACTGCTGGACAGAAGCCTGGCAAATCAAACGCAAATGAGGAGTAGTTTCAGTTGTCGATGAGGTTCACTGTTAAAACAACTGTAAAGAGAAATAGAATCTGTTTTTGATGTTATGTACTCATGAAAATGATCCTGTCTGGGAGGACACGTGTCAGCGGGATGTGTTTTTGGGCCTTCTGCACTGGGAACTTTTGTGAAATGTAACAGTCTGTAGGAAAAGATGATTCCGGTAGTCTTGTCTGGCTTTAAAAGACTGAACCATGGATCATTAAGAATGACACTTCATCTCACTGAAACCTTTTTTTATTTATTTTTTTTTTAGGGGTTTATTTTGAGAAGGTCTTAAAGAGTTCAGATACCTCCTTGTGGGTGAGGAATATTCAGATGTACTTATCTGGGATTGTGGTGACTTTATTTGGTGTGTACATGTCAGATGGAGCCCAAGTTCTTGAGAAAGGGTTTTTCTATGGCTATACCTACTACGTCTGGTTTGTCATCTGTAAGTATCTCGTGGTTTTCAGGTCTTGTTACATTGGTTTGCTTTTTTTAGCTATGATATAACTGATTGCACGAAGCTGCAAATTCAGGCTGACCCATGATTCTTTACTGTGTTTTGAGGGTTTTTTTTTAAAAGTAGTGTTCTCTTGGAAATTATTCGCTTGTTCAATTTAAAATCGTGCTGAAACAGCAGTCTAAATGACTAAATGAGTTGTACCTCATCTACTAGATGCTCTGAAGATAGCCCATTTTGCTGAATGTTGCATTACATCATCAATTAGACAAGGAAGTGCACCAGTGGAGTTAAATACATCGTTTCAAGAGTAACCTATTGCACCTTTACTAACAGAAACATGTTATCTGCTTTCCAGTTCTCGCCAGTGTAGGTGGCCTCTACACTTCGGTTGTTGTTAAGTACACAGATAACATTATGAAAGGCTTTTCTGCGGCAGCAGCCATTCTTCTTTCTACTGTGGCATCAGTCATCCTCTTTGGCCTCCAGATAAGTAAGTGCCTTTTTGCCATTTGATGTGACCGTACAGACATTTCCTCCCCGGCTAGCAGGCTGTAGGCAGGTCATATGTTTGCACCTTTGAATTTTGCTGGTTTTAACTCCAGGACTCCTTTGCACTAATGTGTAATCTGTGCTGTGTTACCTAAGGTGCCTGACGATCCTCACAGGCGTTCACCATTTCTTCTTTCAGAGGCATCCTACAACCTCAAACATAAAGGTTCTTTTCGATTTAAACAGCTTACAAGTTTATACAGCTTTATTAATGAATCGCTTTCTGATGCAATTTAGTATGTGATATAGTTGTTTACCTGAGACTGCTGTTTGATAAGTTATCGTTTCTTGTTGGTTTTAGTACAGCCAGTGCCAAATCAATTCCTCAGTTCTGTTCTTTCTGCAAGGGCTTTGCCACATCCCTGTTAAGTAACACTCGCTACGGTGTTACCTTTTACCTTCCCCCTTTGCTTGTGGCCAGCACCATGTGAGAGTGAGTCGAATGAAACTCAAGGGAAGTTTGCATAAGCAGAAAATCATCAGTGTTTGGCTGAAAAAGAGCACCTTACAGCAAGTGATGAGAAACAGAACTAGGTTAAAAACTCACTTGGGCAGAACATTTTCTTGATGCTTGACACAAACCAAGCCTGGACTGGTGGTCTTTCTGTGAAAACCTCATTAATATAGTTTCTTAACCCTGTCTAGAAGTGGAAAGGGAAACAAAGTGTGTTATCACAGACCACTTTATCCCATCCACTGTGTCTTTATTGTTAAGTTTATTGTACAGTAAGTCTGTCAGATGGCATCTGTAACTACAGGAGGTGTCTCGTGCTTGCTTTTCTGACCATCACCGCATTCTTGCTGATACGAGACTAATTGAAATGGTGTGAGGACTGTAAACGCTCAGGAGTCCTCAGTGACAGAGGATAAGTCGAGATTCTGTGAATTATTAACAGCTTGTTGTCCTGTTTAGTTTTGAGTAACTTTAATACCATCATTCAGTTATCATCACAACTTAGTCTTCTGAAGGTTTCTTCGTACGCAGAGGTGTTTAAAGAAACTATTGTTGTCTCCTTTCAGCTGTTACCTTCTCCCTGGGTGCCGTCCTGGTGTGTATTTCTATTTACCTCTATGGATTACCTCGACAAGACACCACAAAAATCCAGCCATTGGACACAAAGAGCTCAAAAGAGAGACTTGCTACTGTGTGATGTTGTCCATAGAAATGGACAGACAGACGAGGAAAAACCAGACTTTTTTTTAAAAAAAAAAAACCAAACCTGCATTTTTTTAAAATTAGCCTTAAGCTAGTCATGAAATGGTTTAAGTGGGATAGACTAAAAAGAAGTTGGTTCTGGTTTACATGTGATGTTTCCAGTGGCTGATGCTGAGGCTATGTTACGGCCGAGGAGCTGGACGGGTATTTTACTGAAGGTATTCTTCATTCGCATCGGACAATGAAGAGTCCCATTTACAAGGAAAGCAGAATGAAGGAACTGAACACTCAATTGTATATAATGTATATAACGGAGGGGAATTGGTTCTTTGTGTGTTTGATAAACTGTCTTGCCCTTTGAGGGCAGAAATGCTTAAAAGCTTCATAAAAATGTATTAAAAAGAGCAATTGCTGCCAGCATTTTCTCTTAAATTACTCAGCAATTGCAGTTTGATTACTGACAGGAAAAGGCTCTGTTCTAGGTGATACATGTGAGATGAGCAGAGTACTTCTCCAGTGGTTTTTATGATGAATTAATAGAATTTTTTTCCTTCCCTGCAATCAAGTCTTATGTGTCCTGACACAACTCCACCAGGAGTAACCAAGCTTCAAGCATCACTTACCTAGAAGTGATTAGAAGCAGCACTTGCTCTTTAAAGTCAGAACAAAAGACTGGTGTTTCCCTTAAGCTGATTTTCTTTCACTTTTCAAATGGTTTTTTTATACCTGCTGTAGCTGGTAGAGGGATCGTCTGTTTTCTTCTCTGTGTTTTGTCAAACCCCAGTTGTACGGGGAAAGGTTCATATGTTTTCTCATCTCTCTCGCTTAAGTATGAATGAGTCAACTCAACGTGTTAGACTAGAAGATTTTTATCTGTACGTTTTATCTCTAAAACTTTTTGTGTACAAAGAGTGATGCTCGAAAAGAGTTCCTGTAACACGTGTTAGGCTTTGATTTAAATTGAGTGCCAACTGTATTTCAACCTCCTCCCTCATTTTCTTAGGCCTCACTTAACCCTTCCAGAAACTGAACTCTGCATTGAGGGAAAACTGACTTTGGTGCTTTGGGCAACTCCTTTACTTTCAAAGTGGAGTCAAAAATGTGATCAAGTTTATGTCCTGGTTAGATTCCTTCAGACATGAGTTAACCAGCTGTGTCTTACTTGGAAGTGGGGGCATGTTAATCACAGCCGTAACAAACACACTTGAGTTCTGTTCCAGTGGGAGAGCATGCTGCGCTCTGCCTTTGGCCATTTGTTCTGTGCATTTAAACAGTGTGGCAGCATTGTGCTGCTCTGGTGGTGATGGGTATTGTCAGGCATTTCAGTGGCTACAGCAGCCACCTAGACTACAACCTGCTCAGGAGTGCCAAGCAGCCACCTGCCACATCTGACCATGCGTTCCTGTTCCACCAGCTGGGCAGCAAACCCTCTTCTCCCGTCATCACGTCAGCGTGACGGAAAAATGGGTGAGGAACAGGATGTGACAGCTGACAGTTGGTCTTGGCTACTCTCACTGAGGGGGCAGCATGGTACAACACAGAGGGAAGAATTCTCCGGCATAGTCTAACTCTGTTACAGTATACAGAGCGCCTATAGCTGTTGTACCGTCAGGCCTAAAGTACACAATGGTAACCGCAAAGGGGAGAACTTTTTGCTTACGGTGTAGCATAGTTGTTAATATCACTTTCTCTACCAAAAGTATGTTATATTTACAAAGGTAAATACAAAGCAGTTCTCTTTTATGGGAAATAGCAGGTAGACTAGTATCTTAAAGTGTGCTACTCCTACCACATGCCTGGTAGAAAGCAACTGTGAACCCTGGCCTGCCCCAAAGGCCAATACAAACCTCCTGGAAAAGACAGCAAGTTTCCAGACTCTGGTAGCAATGACATACAGGACAGTATTTATATTCTCTTGAAAAAAATCCTTTTACTAAGAGATGTGACTACATTGCACACAGCCTCATTACATTTGAGTTACAGGTGTAATGCCAAGAAGTTTCATTCCGTTGGCTAGAACCGAGCGTGCAGCTTGAAAGAGACAGAGCCTCGCCTGGAAAAGGAGAACAGCCATCAGCTTACGGTATTGCTACAGAACAGGGCGTAGTTCTCAGGACAGCAGTTAGGATCAGCCTGTCAGAGATGAGAACACCGTGTGCAGCCTCTGTCCCCAGGCAGTGCACTGGGATTCGGACACACGCATAATCTGAGTAACACACCAGTGCTGGCAGAATTAACACCAGCTGTTGATAGCTCATTGCAGTGTCAACAGAGGGACACTTTTGCCAAGGAAGAGAAGCTGGAAAGGGATGTCCAGCCCAGTCTAGTACCCTCAGGGCAGACTGACCACAGGAGCTGCCTGTAAAAGCTTGCAATGACTAAAAACTGAAAATCTTTCTCGTACCACAGGCTGTTAGAGCCTGAGGATACTGTTGGAATTCCTCCTCTCACTGTGCCTGGTTTAGAGACTGTCAAGCAACTATGGGCTGCTTTGAAATTTTCACTCTTCCTTGTCCATGTCTTTGCTGTTACACAGCTGGCTGTTTGGGAAGGGCTTTATCAACTTTACTCCAAAAAAATTAGTTCTTGGAAGCTGTCACAGTAAAAGATATTTAGAAATTTGGGTTTTTATAGGATAAGGAACTAAAATTTTCCTTGTAGATTGGACTTAGTTGTTCTTCTTAAGAATGCATGGAACCATCTTCAAAGGCAGGAGTACCTACAGCATCTAAGCTCAACAACTACAGTATGCAGCTCCATCTGAATTTTTTTTTCCCCCACAACACAGCTCAACACTTAAATGTGATTTCCTACCACAATCATATAGGTAACTGCTTTTGAAATGGTAAAAAGAGGGGGAAAAAAGTAGTATAATTAGTGCATCATTTACTGAGCAGTTAAAGGGTCAAATATTTTTCCTGATCTCCCAGGCAATAATTTGCATCTATTTGGAACTGCATATTAACAGTTGTCAGCCTCAGTGCTTTAGCTAGAAAGGCAGTATAGACAACCTGGAATATGTAGGTGGCAAGAGGGAGGAGAGAGATTCAGTTATCTCCTAATTCTCCGTCTTCCCACATAACCACTAAAGGAAACCATCAGAAAAATAACCAGCAACTTCAATGCTCAAATGTTTAAAGAATTCAGAAGGAACGACAATGAGAAGGAAAGGTGTTTGATTTGATTTGGAGCAGTTGTCCCTATGGAGCAGCCCTTTCCGAAGGCACAGCTGTGAAGAGCAGCCCCTGCCCTCCCACAGGACAGCCTCCCCTCGGCTCATGAGCCCGCAGGTACATGTTCACCCAGGTGGTTACAGGGCTGGGCTGGCAAAGCCCTAACACATCATTCCTCTGGGATGCCCCACATGGACTCCAGCCACGTAACAATGCCGTGCCGTACCTGGGCTAGGTCAGGGGTGCTGCCTTTCACAGGAAGAGTTTTGTGTGCCACGGCTGCAAGATGGCTGAAATGGAAAACAGTGAGAATGGTGAGAACGAGCAAGTCTCTTGACAAAAGCAGTGCTGTGGGCTGCACAAAGCAGCAGAACTGGAAGGGCCACAACTGCAGCATGCCAGAGACATTTCCAACAGCCTCTTTCACCGGGCTGAGGGAGGGCATGGTTTTCTGTAGCCTGCATGTTGTCAGGGCATGCCATCAACAACTTAATGCCTGTAAAAAACCAAAAACCCCAAAACATTCTCTCCACTCCTCCCCAAAACCCCACAACTGGTCTGGAAAGATCCGTGAGAGCCTGCCCTGTCATTCCCAAGGTGCACAATTCCTTATACCATTTCCTTAACTTGTTTGAGCCTTCCCCATACACAGGCTCTACAGCTTCCTCCAGCAAGTCTACTCCAGTGCTTCACTGTCCAGTTAAGTCAGACAGATCCCTAAGGGGACCCTTCCTATGGAGGTCTCATATGCAGTGCGTGGCTTACAGTAATCATGTGCTTTGTCCACCTCAACCACTGATCTCAGCCTAGGTGTTAAAAGGTGTTTGGACAAAAATCTCCTAGCTGAAATTTTGACACTTCAGAGCATGTTATCAGTTCAAATCTGCTCTTTAAGATGCGATTAGTCCAGCGTGAGTCTGGGTTCAGACACTGGATTACAGCCAAATGATTCTTTTTTCTTGAAAGCAATTAGTTTCTGAGGAGGATCTGGGCTCCTTTGTTCCTGGTTCCAACCTTGATCTCTGCTATTTATTATGTTATTATTTGCTACTCTACTTTATACCTTTCCTGCTCCAGATAAACCATCCCACAAATTTACATCTTCCCACTATTTTTACTCTTAAAAGCAGTGCAGATAGGAGGGCTGCTGAGCCAGCTCAGGAAGACCTGTCCTTACCGGAGATGGATGCCAGTATCAGCAATCACCTTACCTGAGTGTGAGGAGGTAGCTGACAATGTGCTTGGGTTGCAGATCCTGAGAAGATCTATAGAGGACCTCATCATACCTGTGAAGAAAGAAGAGGGTGGTAGGAAAGTGTACTCTGATATAAGGCTGTTCAGACTTGCTCAAGTCAGAACAAACACGTAACCACAACTGCAGAATTAACAAAAACAATCTTCTGAACCAGACCTAAGCCATGTAATTAGCACACAATTGATTATTTCTTCCTCGATCGCTTATTATTGAAGGAGATTGCTTCTGCTCCTCAGCATGCAAACACTGGAGCTGGCAGAGTTCAGAGAGGCAGGCTATAGCAAAGAGAACACAAGAACTATATTTGCTCCTGGAACATTATGTCTGGTTTTACATTTGAACACTAATTGTAAGTTCCCGGGAGCAAAAAAACATGTTAAATAACCAAGACAGTCAAAATAGTCCCTTAGAGAATGTTGCCTTTAGTAAATGCAGCTTAGAATTTTAAGTAGCTAGAGGGAATCTTGTAACATTAGAAAAGACAAAACCAAAGTGTGTTTACATAATCCTGGAATAAAATCAACTTATGTAATACAGTATCAAACTGGATAATACAGGCGGAGTCATGGAAATCCATGTTTAGTCTTCATGTGTTCCACTGTCCGCTTGTGCAGACACACTTGTGTGTCATTTTCACAGCCTGCAAGAAGCTACCGACACCTCTGAGGTTGAATAGATTTCAAATTTCAAGTGGACTTCCTGGTCTTTGCTCAGCTCCCAGGCCCATCCCTGCCAGTGTGCCCAAGCTGAACTAACCTGGGATCTTCCTCCTTTAAAGGCAAGCTGCAGGAGAACTGGGGAGTGAGCTCTGATAATGAGCCCTCAGGGGTCACGTAAGAGCTATAGCACCAGGGAGGGAGTGCTCCCCATTCGCATGGCAGGTAGGCTACAAAAACATCTCTTACGCGTGTGTTCAGCAGCTCCTCGCAGCCAGCACGGCCCAGGTGGCCGCGGTTCCAACAGGGAAGGT